AATTTTACTTCGATGTGAGCGCTAAGAAACGTTATCGTATGGATGTGCCATAACGAAACATTCAAGAACTAAGATTGAACATTTATTGAAACACGATTTGAAATTTTCCGAGATTGGAAATGAAATAGCCAAAAAAATATCTGTGAATAGACTAAATTGCTTTAGGGAATTAGTGTTGAAAACAAAAACAAAATGGGACAAAAGTTATAATGAATTTTTTTTCAAAACATTTTCCATTTCTAGTTTGTTTAGCTCCACTGAATACTAAGACGAAACTCTTTCATCAAAGAGTCTCTTGATGATAAAACCACAAGGTTCTACAATTTTAGAAAGTCCTAGAACAATTTTCAGTTAATCCTTAATGGTGAGGTTAACTCTCCTAAAGGCACAGTGAATAAGAGTTCAGATAAAAGTACTTTTCAGTCATTCTACTTTCTTCAAAGTGAAATGTGGAGAAATCTTTGAGTAAGGGCGCTGGACCACACAAACCCTATTGTTAAAAGCAGTAACTTTATAATTTCGAAATAAAAAAAAATTTCCATTTTGTGAATAATTTATATCTAAAAAAAAAAATTCCTGCCACAAAAGAATTGTTATTCTAAATTGCTAAATAGTTAAGCGAGGTATGAGGGAAATTATGAATTTTTGGGACTTTTCAAAGTATAATTTATATAAAGTCCATTACTTTAGCTGAAAAAGAAAGAATTTGGTTTTCACCAGTTGATCATTTAAGCTTATAGAATACATGTTCTATCGCAAATCAAAATTTTGACAAAGCTAAAAGTATTTTTGCTACTTCCAAGCTAACTTTTGGCAATTTTCAGCGCTAATTTTGACTTATTACTGCATAACTTTAACTTTCAGTTCAGTTTTTTTTCAAATCAGTTTTAGGTGACCATATAAACCCTTGGTCTATGCTCAAGTAAGTCTTCGATTATGTACTAATAATCAATGCAGTAAAGAAGAAATGGTATGTGGTAATATTAGAAGAATTAATATTTACTGAAACTCATTTTTTCCTTGAAAAGAGACACCAATAAATAAAGTGAAATCATAGGGTCACTGAAAAAAAGGTAATTTTAAAGCTCTAGCGATTAAAGCTTTGAATAGTAGGAAAGCAAGCCGTATTGTAAATTTCATCCGCTTAGCATTTATTATAGAATGGATTAACACTGTTTATCAATTATCATTTGAATTTCGCAGTTAGAGCAGAAAAGAAATGAATAGAACAAATTATTACTTCAGTGCACAACTTAAAGATCATTTAAAAAATTTTTTTGTTGCAGTAATCTGTGGAAGAACTAAAATCCTTCTGATCACCGATGTCGTTTGAAAAAAAGGCAAAAATATTGAATAACACCCGTATAAATCCCTAAGATAACACTTTTCTAAATCGAATATTGAATGCAAAAAATGAGATAATTAGACTTTTAACAAGGAATTTGCAAAAAATGGTTAAAAGTAAAGTGATACGTGTTAATTTAATCAATTATTACTGTATTCCTTTAAACTAGGGTATTGGAGATATTTCCAAAATATAATTCCAGATTTTAACATTTCTGCCACATATCTATGTGTTCATCTTCAATTTAGTAACAAAATTGAGGTTATAAAAGATGAAGAAAATTCGTGGAAATCAAATTTAGAAAATAAAGCATATTTGAAATTAATTTTCGTTTATTGTAACTATTATATTGTTATTATAACAATTCTTGAATTTCAGTCGTAATTTAATAGAATAATAATTCTAAAATTATTTTTAAAAAAAGCGATGGAATATTCAACTGCTTAAAATGTTTTAATAAACGATAGATATTTCATGAAAGAAAAAGTTATAGAATATTAATAAATATTTTGGGGCATAAATGCACATATTTGGCTTTAATTTTTTTAAATCTGTTATATCATTGGATCCATTCTATTTTTTGTAAAGAATGTTTACCATTTATAGTTAGACCCGCTCCAGAACCTTCGAAATAAAAGCAAATACCCACTAAGCCGTTTCACCTATTCATTATGCTGAATAAATTCTTTCAGTTTCGATGGATTTATCTGTTTTTTTTTTGACTGCAATATATCTACTTTTTGAAAAATTATGTTGGTACGAAAGCAGATACCAGACAATTCCTTCTAGTTCGTTCGAGTAAGCATCAGTAAGTCTGTAAATTCTGAAGGCATACTGCTGTCAAAAGCAAATGAGGTTTTAATATTAATAAGCAGAATCTTGGCGAATTAATAATCGATGAGACCAAGTTTTCAAGAAATTACGGGTATAACTATTTATAAATCAGACTGGAAATTTTAGAAATTTCATATTGTACAAATTTCATTTAACACATCGTTATATTAAAGAGCAAAACTAGAACGTTCCACTAAAATATTTAACGAGAAAAAATGCTAGCCACAAGCTAGGAACATTCCATTAAAATATTTAGTAGAAAAATAATTTTTCTCAAGCAAACTTTCAACCATCCATAGTTTTCGAATCTTGATTCGACTTGACAGCCTATTTTTTGCGTGTTAATGACAAAAATTGCTTTAATTGAAATTTGGCAGTAAATGACGATAATTTCTTCGAATGGTTTATAACTTCGACAAAATTCTTCAATAAACTTTCGTTGTTGATTAACAGCGAAAATTTTGATGCATAAAAAACACTAAAATCAGAAAATTAATAAATAAGAATGAATGCTTGAAAACAAAAATCGATTTGTGAAGATAGCTTACTTTAAAAAATGCAATTTTGAAACTAGGCAAATAAAATAAATCTGGATGAATTTTATTGCCAATTAAAATTTCCAAGTTTGAGTAATATGAGAACAGGGTTTATCAATATTTAAATTTGTTGCTCAGCTTTACACTTTGCAACACATTTTTAACAAACACAACATTCATATCTCCTTTGTTAGTAGCCGAATTGTTAACTGTTTTGACTCACCTGGCGCAAAATCTATTAAATAAATATGTTAGAATAAATCTAAGTTCTGCAATTCTAAATATTAAATATCATATCATAATAATACAATGATAATGTGGTATCTATGTGGTATATATGAATAATATGATTTTGACAATGTGATTTTTTCGATCTATTCTATGATCATGCAACGGCTTAGCGAGGCTGAAACTTAGGAAGTTTCTATCTATATATCATTTATCATTACTGCCATTATTATTTACTAGCTCTAGAACTAGTTGTTTGTTAGATCATATTCTTGCAGATTTATCTCGAGATAGTATCTTTTAAAAATTTTAGCAAACCATCTTAAAAAACACATTCTCGGAAAATAATTTAATAATAAAACAAAGTAACCGTAGATCGCAGCCGCTACTCTCTATAATTCCCTTACTAAAAATGTGAGCAGTAATTACTGTGAATTTTTGATTGCTCAAATACCTTGCTGAGTAGACTCTGAAAAAATCGGCTTTTACATTTCTCACTTTTCATTTAGAAAAATTTATCAAATTTTCTACGCAAAATCCTGGAAAGATAACTGTTTAATTAGTTTTTAAAAATAAAATTTGTGCATTAAAAAAGTCTAAGAAAAATTTAGTTTAATTTAATTTAATTTAACCTTATTTATTTATTATTTAACCTTATCTTACAATAAAAAATAATTTAAACTTTACAACAAAAAAGTAAAAACCTACGAAAACGAATTTTGAGCAAGTGAAATTAAAAAAATCAAGATTTATCAGCTACGGTTTCAAAAGGCGAAGAGTTTGAATGTTTAGCTTTTATAAGGCATCCTTAAGTATTGTGGCAAAGATATCATCATTTTGTAGTTGTATTATAGCCATATTTTATATTATAATGTTCACAAGCTTTTCTTTAAAATCGTACTTTTTTCTTTAACCTAATTTTTTAAAAAAAATTTGATTAGAAAAGCAGTATTTAAAATAAAAGCGAGACAGAATGGTTCAGTGGATTATTTATTTCGGAGGGTCGATACTAGGATTCCACTCGCAGCAGAAGTAAACCTGTCTTTCAAAAATCCAAATGATGAATGCGATTTATTGTATGATTGACTTCTAAATGCCAAGTGATTCCATGTGGCCAAGTGGCAAATTTATCTAGTCTAACAAGCCAGTGAAATGAGCCCAACTATAAATAGTAAGTGCCCTTAAAAAAAGTTAGAAGAACAATATGGTCGAGTGATATATTGCTTACACTATGATAACAAAAATTGCCAAGTAACGGTTTCGAACGGTTTTCTAGTATCTTGACGCAAATTTGCCTTTAAAAATGCAATTGGATTGGTGCTGGAGTCCGATATATGTTTTCAAGAGAGTACAGACGAGGCATAGAGACGTTTTAGATAATCATTAACATTATGAAATCTTAAAATATTCTGAAATGAATTATTGAATTCATTCGGTTCGTTTCATTGGTTCTGGCGTAATTTGTGATGGAACAAATTTTGATAAATATCCCTAAATACATAAGGAAAGTTAAAATTTTATTTAGGAGCTGAAGATGAGGCACTGTAAAATCTTTCCATTAAACTTTAAAGCGTTGAAGTATAATGGAAGAAAAAATGATTAATTTCGCTCTTCGCACCATCGCATCTATTGATATAAGATTCCGCGAATAAGCGCAAACATTGAAATTGGAATCCCTTCGCTCTGTGATCTTGGAAAATTTGTTTACCATTATAGGATACCGTTATCTTCATCTTCTAACAGCTCTCACCATTGCTGATTAGGCTGGCTCCGCTGGCTAAAAGGGTAAGACATCTCCAAGCTGCTCAGTCCGATGCCATCGCTAGTAATAATAGAAACCACTCCTTTTTCCATCGTGTAAGTCCATATATTGCTGGTCCATCTACATCTTCAAAATCTTTTCTGATCGTGTCAGTCCAAGCCTTGATCTGCCAACCTCGGTTTTGACGCCAGAAAATGGATACAATCATATGCGATTTTACTCGCTCGATGGATCCGTAAAATATATCTCAGACATAAGTAGTCAAAGGCTAATAACTTCTTAATATCTTCCATTCTCATTCGCCATGTTTTGCAGCCATATAGCAAGATGCATTTTCGTCTTTACGATGATTTCGCGACGATTCAATAAGGGTTTCATCAACCCTGAAAAATGCATTATCTGTCGTTAGCCAGATTATAATTTCATCCTTTGCCTGGCTATTTGGGATTAGAGTGGATCCAAGATATTTAAAGTCCAGCACTTCCTCAACCGGCTATGAAATGATAAAAATGGGTACTTTATCAGCATCTTGTATATAAGATGAAAACACTTTTATTTTATTTACATTGATTTTGATTGCTCGCTGCAGTTATTGACACATCATTTAACATTATTTGCATTTCCTTATAACTGTCAGAAAAAAGGACTACTACATCATCAGCGTATTCAAGGGCTGTGATGCTATGCCCTGGACTGATTTGTATAGCTCTTGAGCGCCGACAAGTGATGCCCATCATCCAGTCTATCACATAGTTAAATATTTTAGAGGAAAGGACAAAGCCCAGACCGACACCAGTTCTTATTTCGAAGGAGTCTGTCAGTTCCCCATATACACAGACCTGTGCCAGGGTATGCTGATAAAATGCCTTTATGAACCGAATGATCTTTTCTAAGACACCGTCACATTCCATCACTTTCCAGCTCTATCAATCAAATCGAAGGTAGCTGCAAATTCGATAAAGTAGTAAATATATGGTCAGAACAACCGCGTCCGAGTCTGAATCCATCTTGGTTAGGATGCATTCTGCTATCTCGTGTTGCCATGAGTTTATTTAGAATCTCCAATCTTTTGGTATTATTTCCTTTTGCCATATCAGAGGATACATTTGTAGAAAATAAGTTATGAACGATAGTGGACAACATTTGGCCCGAAGGCAATCTTCTTCAGGAATTTTGGCCTTAAGCAATGGATTATAGAGATTATTTCCTCTTCTGTTTGCAGTACACAATTGCAAACATATGGCTCGACGGGCGAATCAGTTATGTTCGGGACAATAGATAGTGCATCGTGGTTAAGTTTGGCCTCAAAAAATTCTTTGCCTTTTCTGAGGCGATCGTAAACATCTTTAATAGGCACTCCATTAATATCCCGAATCATTTTACTGACCCCTTTTCGAGTTACAATTGCTTTGCGAAGAAGGCGAAACAGTTTCCTATATAGCTTTATAGTATCACGTAAGGAAAAAACAATAAATAGTTTAAATATTCGTAGAGATGAGCTTATTACGCTTATTCCTGATTATTATTATTATTATAAATTTATAACTTTTGATGATTATGTTTATTCCTCTTTTGAATCTCTAATAACTAAAATTTTTAATATTCTCTAATTCAAATTTTAAATTTTTAAAATTCTTAATAATAGAAATATTTTCCTTTTAAATCTATACCGCCCAGCTGTCTATGAAAATAAATTTACTATGGATCTTTACAACCTGTTATTCGGATTAAAATTGGTGCCGATTATGTAATTGTTGGTTATCTTAATATGCCAAATATAGATCGGAAAAATAACAAAATTGAAGAGGACTTTCTAAACTTTTGCACTTTTATATAGGTCTAGAACAATATGTTAAGATTACCACTAGATTTAACACTATTTAGATGTTGTGTTTACTCCTACTTCTCTTGTTGATAACATTAGAATCTTGGAACCTTCTTGTAATAGTGATCACAATATCATTCATGCTTCATTAAAATTAAACCGTTATGTCAGCATGGCTTTTGTAAGAAAAAATCTACTTCTTCACAAATATTGGAATATTTCCGATTGGGTCGGCATCAATTGACAATGGAAAAACAATATCAGTTATGCATCTAGATTTGGCTAAAGCTTTTGATACTGCTTCCCATAGCAAATTACTGATTACTCTTAATAATTATGGCATTATAGGGACCCTTTATAACTGGGTGTCAGATTATGTAAAAGGTCGTCACTAAGCCGTACGCGTCAATAATACTCTTTCTGACACAACACCTGTTAAATCTGGTGTTCCCCAAGGTAGTTGTATTGCGCCATTGCTTTTTCTATTATATATAAATGATATCACCAATGTGGTAATAATTCTACTATTTATCTTTAGGATGATGATTGTGAAATTTATTATCCTCATGGTGAGAACAGATAGCCTATCTCCACTGTAATAGGACCTCAACAGAATAGCCAGTTGGCTATATGACAGGCAAATTATCCTTTTCTTTCAAAAATGTAGCGTTCTTCATATCAATTCTAGAGGTTTCAATTTTCCTAATCATATTATTAATGGCAATATAATCAGTAGGGTCTCTCTCACACATCTCCAATCTTGGAATAACCATGGATGGAAATCTCGATTTCGACCTTCATTGCAGAACTATGTTAAAGAAATCCGCAAAGATACTAAATTTTATTTTTCGTTCGTTTTAGAACAAAAGTGAAGACTTTCTTATCAAAATGTACAAAACATTCGTTCGGCCACTTCTTGACTATAGTATTACATGTTACTCCCTGAGATATCGTAAATCAAGTAAAATAATTGAAGGACTCCAAAAATATTGTACACGGCGCCTCTCTCCTAATTGCAATTTTAATTATAAAAGAAAATTTCTACAATATAACTGGGATTTTCTGCCAGTTCGTCGTATTAAACAAGATTTAACTTAAACTTATAAGATTTTGTATGGACAACTAGATTGTTCAAAATATTATAATTTTAGGCTAAATTTGAATCCAGCTAGAACTAATGGGCTAAAATTACTAAAACCTATGTGTAAAGCTAAACTAAGAACTTATAACTTCTTTATTCGTACTATTAATTACTGGAATAATTAATTAATTAATTCTTTATTATTAATTTTTTATCATATTTTATTTTTTTTCACCATTAATTCTTATTATTTGTTATTTTAATTGTTGCTATTAATGCAAACTATAATATAATACAAAACTATAATACAAATACATGGCGTTTGTCGCCGTGCTTGGTTTTCAATAAAAATAAATCACCTATGCGAGCCGCCGTCTCCATTCTCAAGGCCATACCACTCTGATAGCGATTTCTATCCCGCGTGTTGCTGTCGTTTAATTCTTTGAAGCACCGATAGTCAGGATCTCCAGGATTCGGGCGTTGGCAGCTTTTTTAAACAATTGAACAATTGCTTCCGACACCCAACTAGCGCACTTCCTACTAGTATATTTTAATGTGGGGATGGCTGGCTTTTGTAGGCTTTTGTAGGTATGTTTTTAGTTGGACCAGTATTCATTCGCCTTTCCAGAGATGTCATTGACGTTAATTTCACTGAGGTGTCATACGGTTTTCAATAATACGGTTTGAAATGCACTTATTGCTCCAGGGTCTTTTAATTTGAGATAGTTGAAAGATATTAAGATATCTTTTCTTTAGTTTCTTACGACTTGTCGATTTATACGAATTTTGGCTCGAACCATAGCATGGTCTGCACCATGGAGGTCACCGGTTTCAGTGCCCCGATAAGAACGATTATCAAGAACTCTTCCAGCGACTAATATATGGCCAATCTGATTGGAATATTTGAGAATTTCACGTAACTAAATGTCTTTTTCGACGCTGGAAGCATGTATTAGTAACAAAGCTCAAGAGCTCTTTCTGTTTTGCAAAACGTTCTCCATTGACGCACCGGGCCTCTATGCCACATTTGCCGAGTACTGCATCGTGATCTACGCACACATTCCAGTCTCCTTCGATTATGACCATGTCATCTCTTGGTAGAAATTTTGTTAATAGTTGACTCTCCTTATCCTTATCGCAGTCATCTAAGCATATACGCTGATGACCGAAATATTGCAGAACTTTCCCTTGAAACGCGCGTAGGCCATGCAGTCATTTACTGGCTTCCATTCAATCAGAGCAGTCCTTTCCAGACTTGACAATTTCGCTATATTATTTCTCCCCGAATTATACGGAACCCCACAATGATCCAGCCAATATCTTTACTGGGAACCAGGTTTAAAAATTACTCAAGAGCCGACATGAGGAAGACGGACCTTCAACAAATAAGCCACATCCACGCTGTATTTAAGGGTGTGGATAATTATCGCTTGGCTCGCAATATCCATCAACGTTCTGGCGTAAAGCCAACACCCCACCTCGCTTACAAAGTGTTATCGGATAGGTTCTCGCATCCCTTGACGCATTTTGAGTACTTATCTCGCTTCGCGAGCAAATTATATGTTTGTGCTTTGGAATTTTATTATTATTATTATTATGCCGGGTTATGTATTTATCGCATGTACCACTAGATTAGAAGTAGCATGCGCGTCGAGAGACATCGCGTCAAAGAAACTTGACCCTTTCACAATAGTCATTTGGGGACAGAGACACAGGCCCTCAGCAGCCATCCGAATTTTTAACATCATAACAGGATTACACTTGTCAAACATTTTACACTTTTAAATTAAATTAAAAAGGAAAATTTAATGATAAAAAAAAATTTTAAGAAGGAAAAAAAGGAAAAAAACTTCGATTCGTTGATAACAAATAATAAGTAATAAATTATAAGATAGTAATACAATATAATATAATAATTAGTGATAGTTTCTTAATAATTAGTGATATAATAATTAGTGATAGTTAATTCTATTTGGACTCGTTGGAAATACGATGTTTTTTTTTGGTGATTCATGGTGTTTGATTTAATGCAACGGTACTGATAGTTGAACAAATTTTAACTATCATTATGGATTATATACCATTTTATTAAATACTTTATCCCATGTGCTTTCGATGTAAAAATAGATAAAGCTTCAGGATAAGAATTCATGGTTCGGTTTGTTTTCATAATTTTTGCCTCTCGAAATTTAAGTGTTTTCTTCTTCTTCTTCTTCTAACAGCTCTCACCATTATTGGTTAGGCTGGCTCCAACGGCTACAAGGGTAAGACGCTTCCAAGCGGGACGGTCTGATGCCATCCTATACGTTCAAAATCTTTTCTCACTGTATCAATCCAGGTCTTGATTGGCCCATCTCGCTTTTGACGCCAACCATCACACGGTTTAGCAAATAACGAAATATACATCAACTCCTGTGGTGGACGACGAAGAATGTGCCCTAACCAGCGAAGGCGGCACTCTGTGATAATATTATTTATGCGAATGGTATTTGAACGAAGATGGATGCGATCTTGTGATATTTTATCTGCTCTACGGATTCGTAATATGTACCTTAGACAAGAGTGGTCAAAGAGAGATATCTTCCACTCTTGATATCCTCCACTCTCATTGGCCATGTCTCAGAAACATATAGTAAGATCGAACGGATCATGGCAATATAGATGCGGACTTTTATTTTTATGGTGATTTCACGACGATTCCATAAAAGTTTCGTCAACCGGAAGAACGCATTTCTAGCTGCCGTGATCCGAGTTGTAATATCATCTTTTGCCTGTCCATTTGCTATTAGAGTGGACCCAAGGTATTTGAAATCGGGCATTTTCTCAACCGGCAATGAATTTACAAAAAGAGGC